AAGGACAAACGATACGCCTTAAACGATAACGGTACGTCGATTCGAACGGTAAAAGACATTCTTCGGCTATTTATAGCCTGACGATGCCCGCGTATAATGTAGCTTCGGAACCCTCGTAAGAATCTGAAAATGTAAACGTTTGGAAAATGAGATGGAATACCGGAAAATAATTACGTCTTCGGTTGGACGCTATTTCGAATCAAAGGCAAACGATACGATCTGTTGATACATATTTATTGATAAATGTTAATTACAATAATTAATTCATGTCGGACGGGAGAGTCGTACTTTGAAAAGTCCGCTGAATAATTAGAATAAAAGCGTAATGGAAGAATGTTTTGCAGAAAACATTCTTCTGTTACGTTTACAAATTGCATTATCAAACTGTTTTGGAGATTTTAATATTTCAATTCGCGTACGATTGTATTATTTTTTACCATAACGATCCGTTGCGTGTCTCCGCCATTACATGAGACTTGGGAATAACTTGAAGAATAAATTAGGAGGGACTGATGAAAAAAATTTTCGTTATCCGAGCGCAACGCGCGAGCGATTCGTTGCACGCGAAGAGAGCTTATCAGGACGCGCATCGGCTCGCATAAAGCCAAACATCCGCAAATCGGAATCGTACTCACGCACGCACGCGAGCACGCATAAAAAGCTTAACGGAAAACGGTACAAAACTAGCGGGAATCCACGATTCTAACCCACTCGCCTTGATTCATGCGGAAAGTCAACGGCTGTTTTGGCCCGATTTACTTTTACGAATTCGACCGTGCGACGCGAAATGCATTTCTAAATCGTGCGTTGATTTATTCGATCCAGCCAAATCGACAAGAGATGAAAGCATCATATTTTTATTAACGTCCTTTGAAAGATGCGTGATAATTCCTTACGCGTAAAATTATTTTTATCTTCTTAAATATGATAAATTCATTCCATTTACCGAGGCATTTCCAAATTTTAAATATACCTTATAGAATATAACTCGTAGATGATTTTTACGTTTTACAAATCCATTGTTTTACACATTTTATACAATTTTTCATTTTTACTTTGTTCGCCGAATATATTCAACATATTTCATAAATTTACTAAAGGCACCATAAAACGTTATACATTTGTTTTAATTTACTTTTAACAAACAATTCACAAATTAGTTATAAAAATTGAATTACACTTGTGTACCTATATTGCCGACAGCTTAATAATTCGTCATAGTTCAGTGCCTGATTATTTTTATTATTAAACGTAACTCAAGTTTCCGACGGAAATAGATGGAATCTAAGTATAACGACGCATCATTTCGGGACATTATGTTTGCAGACAAAAATAGAGTTCGTCCACGACGCGTGAAGAATTTTAATTTGGGGTAGGCAGAGTTTATCCCCGCGCCGAGAAGCGTGTTACCCCTCCTTTCTCCTTCGCCCCTTTCTCCGTTGTCCTTTGTGCGCCTTCCTAGCCACGCTAGTTCTCTATCGCTGTGACGTAATACCGCAAGGTCTTACGGTATCTCCGGCAAACGGGCCCACATTACGTGAGTATCCGTACACGCGACCCGCATATACGTAAGTACCTGCGTAGAAGAAGATCCGCTAACCGTTGCTTCTCGCGTATCCTTCTTCAAAGCTCGGAAGTCTCGCTCGAGCCATTCAGACGCAGTATTACGGACAAAGGAGAGATAAGGAGAGACACAGATCGTCCAAGTTTTGTATAACTTTTGGAAAGTATTCATTCTCACAAAACTTTGTTGTCGCACAAACTATTATTGCAGTTTTCATTTCTACACTTGTACAATACGTATTCCTGTAAATGTGCACTTTTTAACAAAAGTCAATTATAATACAAAGAATTTTGACGCATCAAGAACACTTTAACAGCAATGAATGGCAACGTATTTAATAACTTATTTTAACTTAGGTCCTTAAGATATAAAATCAACTAGAAAATGAAGTAAAAAAAAACTAAAAATGTATCAATTTACGGCATCTGACAATGGGACAACAATTTTAATTTATAACAGCAACA